CGTAACAATGAAGAAATATTATGTATTATTAATTAATGTAATACCCTTGTGATCGATTTGCGTTATCTCGTGCATTTCGGGGATGACGCAACATCCATTAATCCGACGTTTTTCGATTGGATCATTCAATGATTGAATTCGTTGATTCATTATGAATCACATGTGAATTGTAAACGCTTTCAGTTAGGTACATTAATAAATCTGATTTATCGCTTTATTTTACCAGAATCTAAAAAATATCTCGAAATATGATAACAGATTTTTCCTACTGTTTTTTTTTTCGCGGATAGATATCGTTAAGCAAAAATCGTTTAACGTGAAACGCGACGCCGTCTCGCGTACAATTATAGCGCAAGGTTTTCTTTCAAACTATAGTCGATGTAGAATCCTATTCTCAGTTTACAGACGACAGTCTCGAAGAAACTTGCCTGAAGGTCACGCGAACGTTACACGTATTATATAAGATGCTATTTGTTAAAGCGAAACATGATAAAAGGCTATCTGGCTACCGTCGATAAAATCAATTATGCGAACTGTTAGGATTAAAAACAATTGCCATCGCTTCAGAATGAAAAAAAAGAAGAAAAAATGAAAGATTTTGTTATTGATTAAAATTTGCACACTTCACATCGTATCACTTACTGTTATTTTTTTTTTTTTTTTATCAACCAAATGCAAACTCTTGATATAACAAGAAATCAATTCATTCAGCCAATTTAACTCTTTATCAGAGCCTTGGCGATGTCCACGTTTTATCTTACAGACCGTTTAAATAATATATCGGCAACGTGACAGAATTCAGGTATATTAGATACATAAGTCATCGCGTATTTTCGAGAAATCGAATGAAAATTATATCAAATGATCATCTGCAAACTTGCATATAAAATTTTGCAAAACTAATCTGATAAGGCAAGAAATATCAAGTTCATCGTTGCTAAAAATATACGCGATACGCACAATGGCAATAAATTCACATAGAAATATACGAAAATGTGATAAGTTGTGAAGAAAGTCTTAAATATATTCCATTTCAGAAATTCTCTACATTATTATTAGTAGAATTAAATATATCTCTCGCGCAAATGTTTCTATTAATGTAAAATTAACATCTATGTCACATGAATCGTGACGACAGATGGTAGACAAACGTATAAATGGACGTTCTTGAATTAGGTCAAGCTGCGCCAAGTTTTTCGCCGTTTATTTTTGCGCCGTGCATAACTCGCGCGTATCCATTGATTATCTCGGTTACGCGATAAAGTGAACAGCAACGACTCGGTAAATAGGATTATCCGGGAAAATTTAATTACATAAAAGAAAAGTAGGAAATATGTGCACACATACACATCTTTTCTCGTATCGGCACGCGCGTTAATAGCAAATTTGCTCTTTCTGACGAGAACGAATCACTTTATTAGCTAAGATTTCGTAATTTTGCGTTTGCATCGAATAAACGAGTAATAAATAAACCGAGAAGTATAGCCGAAAATTGACGTTACTTATCGCTCGATTTATTTAACTTTGTGCAGTGTTATAAACACAAGAATGTCACCAGTTATTCGATAAAAATCTTAAGACAAAACGACCGAGTTGACGTGACTCGCGAAAACAACCGACACCTAACAATCTTTGCTTTCGAATGCTGTCTCACGATGACATTTAACTTTTCTGCAGATCGAGCGAGCTCGTTAGCCTTTCCAATCCCAAGATTTTGTAATTGTCAATTCTCAAGTATCTATTATGTATTAATTAGCAAGTATTATACACAGTATCTATGCATATTATGTAATTATGAAAATAAAAAGAAATATCAGAAAGATAAGATATAGAATATCAAAAAATAACATATAAAATATATAAAAATAGACATAGTGAGTAATAATATAGCCGCTGCCAAATTTTTCCAGATTAAGTTTTTTAAACTAAATTTTGTTTTTAAGTTTTTAAAGTCAAGACTTTAAATAAAAATAAATTGTCATTTTATATATATTACGCAACGCGATAATAATTGTATTGCGTCACGCATCGACAAAACAGCTGCCTCGTGTTCGAAGCGAGCATCAATTTCTAGAAGACGCAAGTTATTAAATAACTGCCTGAAATCGACAGTGGACCCTTTCCTTTCTGCCTTTAGTCACCGGTTTCAGATCAGAAGCGTCGAACAAAGTGGCTCGTAAAAACATGTCGGTTTCGTTTTACACCCGCAAAGACCTTTAAGAACCATAATTTATAGCTGCTGTTATTATTACAGTCATTATCGGCGCAGTCAACTTTCCGAGAATAATTACGAAACGGCAACCGTTCTAGCAGTTCTCTTGTCGATAAGAAAAATCGAGTTTGCGAGATTTTCGCTGCATATTATTAAAGGATTAACAGAAAGAATGTTCAGAACCGGCATGTGGATAGTAAACATTCTTAAAGGCTTGCAGGATATCAAATACCGCCGCGGAAAATCCGAGATATATCGCGGTTTCATGTAACACGGACGGTTTATCACGACGTTTCGTGGTTACCATCAACGTGAGATAGATCGACGAACGTAAGGCTAAAAGCAAATTTCTAGAAGCTGGCACGGAGAATACCTTCAATGCGCGCCAACGATCAGAAGGCCAGTGAACTGCTGACTATACAGGGTGTCCCGTTACTGTATCGCCGTTTCTGATGATGACAGACCTTCGGTTTGACGAAATACGAGTCAATATTATCCTAAGGCAAATTTCGCGGAAATTTATAATATGCTAAGCTCCAACATTAAACAATATTAAACAAATTCCTAAAATTAAAGTCACATTATTACCAATTAAAACCTATTTGAAATTAATTAAATTAAAATGAAATTTCTCGTCGTTCATTTACGTATGTATCTATGATAATGAATTCTATGAATTCATTAGAATCTCGCATAAAATAATTTTGTAATTAATTTTCAATCTTTCGCTCTAATCAAATCGCTAAAGGTTGCTTGCAAAGGAAGAACGGTAATGATAAGACATCCTATATGATGCCATGATGTATTTGTGGCACGCTCTGTCGTCGGGCACCAAACAGAACCGTTTGATGCCGATGTTTGATGACGAAGAAGGAAGTGCGGAGGATCGAATGGAAAGTTTTTGCGCGACAACGCGGGATCGACAAAAATCTGCATTGAAACTTTGAACTTCTTTATTTTATAATTAAGACTTGTCGGACTTGCGAGCCCAACGATCACAACGAGATATAGTTTTCATAATGCACGATCCTTAACGACGAACTTAGAAAAGAACGAAGGATTGCGCTCACTCGTAATTGTAAAAAAAAAGAGACAAAGAAATGACCAATGCACAACTTTCCCACGCACACTCTCGCACACATATATACAATACAACACATATATACAATACACACACACACACACACACACACACACACACTCGCATAGGCATACAAGTATCCTTGTCGGAACTGTGGAATCCTGACGCAATTCGTTCATTCCGCTCGCAGTAGGTACGCGCAATATGTACTAATTGCTAAACTTATCTAATTAGTCGGATAAGGCGACGAACGTTGTCGGAAATCAACGCCGAAGCCGCGAATGATCGTTTCTTAGTCGCTTCGTATCGCTATGTACAAGTGTGCCGTTTTATTGCGTCACCGTGTCACGACCGCATTTTACCATCGCCGTCTATAATAAAATCCCGGACGCTGTAGTTGTGACGTCACGCGCGCCCGGGAATAATCGAAAGTTTCTAAGAATTGATTGCGAGGTTTAAGAATAAAACGGACGCCGCGGTTTTTTTACGCGAATGGTATTAATAAGTAGCAGTATCACACACGTGAAATAGTAATCGCCTTCGATATATATATAATTGTCGGCTCGTGACGTCACACAACTGCCCCCGTGAGGACCTTTACTACAGATGTGGATCTTATCTTTATTCACGCGCGAAACGAGAATCACGCGACAATGGAATACTATCACGCCGCGTACAATGATCTTACATGTGTGGGTACAATGTGTATGTTGTAACATCGACAGTATGTCTCTCCTATGTATAGCGATCAATAGCGATAAGTAGCTATGCACTAAAACATGCACAGAAAAAGAGATATACATATATATATCTATAAACCTAAAGGTTATTATTATATACTATGATATTATTATTCCTATAATACATTTTATTTAATGAGAAATTTTCTGCTAATTTATTTCTTCAATTATTTCAAAAGATTTATTATTTCTTCAATATTCTAAAAATTATTATTAATTATATGTTTGTTTACACACACATATACATTTCGAATAATATTTTCAGAAATTAGATCAATTGGTTACTTCCCTCGATATTTGAAGAGTTAATCTAATGTCATCTCGCTCGGATTATTTACTTTGGATTGCATCAGAAATCTATTAATTAATTTCGAGTAAGCCAGACGCCTTCGTTGTCTCGATTATATTAGATAAAGAAAGAAAGATTTAGTAGATTTATCGACTAAATTCAACGAGTACAATTGCATTGTTTAATATGATATAATTATATTTGTCTTGTAATTGGAGTTTGTTTGCTGCTCCGCACTAACAGTTCTTCATAGTCTAATTTCAAAAGATAACGATCGCAGTTTGGTACATAAAAAGTCTCTTTATATTGCTATACTTCGGATATCACACGTAAGTATCTAAACAAAAATTGTTCATTAGTTTATAATTATTACGATTCGCCAATAGTTTCCCTCTTGTTGAATCTGCACTAACAATAAGCGTACTTGGCGTATTCAAAGTACGATACCGCGAGAACTCTCTAATCCTTAAAGTGCAAAACGTAATACAGGCTGAGATTCCGTCGTCGAGTTTCCTACAAGGTAAACACAGCGAATCTTGTGCTCATTTATTGATTTACTTAACAAACGCGTCGAATTATTATCTCACGCGAGAACTCGTGTAGATGCTCTATAAATAGAGTTTCCGTTAGAGAATGAGAATACCACCCGCAAAGGAACCCGCAAGTTACATAGCACGATAAAGGCGAATTGTCTCGTAGTTTCCCTTTAAAAAAAAAAATAAAAAATAAAAAAAAAGAAAATTTTATATGTTGTTAGAGTATCGAGAGTTCTGCCTAGATATGTCACGGTTCAATTTGAGCAAATAAGAATCGCGATTATTAAACCGCGCCAGCAATCTATCAACGACCATCGATGTCTTTGTATTGTTGGCGAAGATATTGGGGACATAATCGTTGTGAGAGAGAAAGATACACACACAATGATCTCACTTATTTTTTCATGATATGCGCGACGATCGGACCAGCCGATCGATGCGAGGCGAGATCAACTTTGATAACTTAGCTTAAGCTCGGTCTACTTCCCGACAGCTGCGTCCTTAAGGATAAATATTGTCGTTCGGTGAAAGCAGCGAGAGTAACAAAGAGAATAAAAAGAGGTCGACGCAAAGGTTTACACGAAAATACTTACGTCTGCGAGAATATACCGTGAGAATTGAACTGACAATGAGATTCGTTGTACAAATGGAAGTCTCAAAGTCTAGTTGAGAATACAAATTCGTTTATTTATGAAATTGTATATTTAAAAAAAAAATGATTGAAGTTAATAAATGGAGAATTCTCAGACTTGTTACAATTTTAAAATAAAAAAAAATTCCACGGGATTCTGTTTGGTTGTATCGTTTAGGGCAATTTTGACGCGCTCGAGTATTAACAAAGAGATGTAAAATGTCAAAGATGTAGATAATGTACATGTTGCTGGGAAATCGGTGGGAAAGAAAAAAAATGGAAGATCGAGTTAGGAAAGAGGCTGTGTGAGAGAGAAGGAGAGAACGTGTATCAACATGGACGGTAAAGTACAGCATAAAAAGAGACTTTCTATTATAGATATACCGTAATACGATCGTTATTTTTTGTTTAAATTATGAAGCCATCAGTGCAAACCATCGACTAAATCTTTCTTTCTTCATCTAATACTGTAATCGAAACAACGATGGCGTCTGGCTTATACTAGGAATTAGTTAACATAGATTTCTGATGCAATCCAAACTAAACAACTTGCACGAAGAGTCCGAACGCAAGATGACGTGTTAAATAAATTTATCAAATAACCAATTGATCCAATTTCTAAAAATATTCGAAATGCGTGTATACAAATATGAAATTAATAAATTTTAAAATATCAAAGAGATGTTGCGATTTGTCTCTCAAGTTTCCTTAAATTTTCAATTCTTTTCATTATAAGCATCGAAAATATAATAAATCTCTAACCATCAAAATTTTTTATTAAATAAAAAATGTATTATACAAATAATAATATCATAATGCATAATTTTTTAATCTTTCTTCTCTGTATCTACAAAAATTCGTTTACTTGAAGCAATAATCAAGAGTTTCGCAACAAATCAGCTGTTGTAGTACTCTATACTGTGATAACGATATTGTCAGTATACATATTTTAATAAACTATAAACAATAAATAATAAACATCATGTAAAAAAATAATGCTATAAAGAGAATCAATATTTTCCCAAAAAAGTATATAAAGAAATACATCCCGCGCGTATGCTATGATTATCGCCGGCGATATTTCTCGATAATTTTGGACGTCAACAAACATAATATAGAGCCCGCTCTGGAAATGAAAATTTCGCATATGGATTCTTAGTGATAATACGATAATAGACGCACCGAATCGTTATTAATAAAAACTTATTAATTATCGCCAGCAATAATTATTTATTTGAGATACGGATCAATATACCGCTGACACAGTATAGAGCAATATGTTACGGGAAAGGAACATCTCCGCGTACACACGCTTCTCGCACGGTGACGGAGCGAGTCCGCGCGAGTGGCTCGCGGCCATAAGTCTTCCACGTAGGGCCGCGTCGAGCGTCGATACGACGACGGCGATCTCGGCCGAGGCATTACGAAGCGAGGTTTTAACGCGCAGCGCCGACAACGCAATGTATTTACAAACACGGCCATGTAAGGCGAGTTCTCGCCTAATTGTGTCTACGGTCGCGCTCGCGTTTCTCACCGCTACACGCTCACACGTTCACTCCCACGTTTTTTTTTCCGACAGAATGAAGGAAACGTGTTTTCCTTGCCCTTTCGCAGGTATCTCGAGCCACTTTTTAAATAATTTGTCCCAAATCACAAAAGAAAATGGATCATTTCGGAGAAATGTCTGTAGTTTTCAACAGAGTAGTATTCAAAGATGCCATTCACGGCGAGAACGAGAAAAAAACGTCAGAGAAGATTCTTTTCAAGCACTCCCGCTGGGGACGACTCACAGTTCCAGGGGCTCATACATCGGCGGTAGCGGCTCGTCCTCGGAATCGTAGAAATATGGTTTTCTACGGTAGCCGCCGTTGGACCGCTGCTCGTCGTCCTCGTCGTCCACTTCTTCGTCCTCATCCACCTCCGAGCTCGAGAGCTCGTCAAGGTTCGCCTGCAACCTCTTGACCGCCTCTTTGATGAGACCGCCCTCGCGCAATAACTCCTGCAGCACCTCATATGGATCATCGTCCACTCTATTCCTCTCGGTCCTCTTCAGGTGGCTGTGATAATGATGATGATGACCGCCGGTCACGTGATTCTGCTGTTGTTGATGGTGAGATTGGCTGCTGGATCGCAGGCCGCAAACCTCGCAACCGGCCGCCGGGTCCGCCCAGGAACGCGCCGGTATCCGGTACGGCGACGGCCGGCTGTTCTTATGGCTGACGCTGGACTTGGCCTTCAGGCTGGACAGCCGCAGATTCTCCTTGATCTGCGACACCAGCAGGTCGACGTCGCGCGTTAGGAATGTGTCCGCCTGCGCCGCGCCGTCCGGCATCACGCCGATCAGATACGTCGTCTCCTCGGCACTCGGCATTTTCTTGCAGTCTGTTTACGTTATAGCGAGAGCACGGATGTTTGCGCTGCAAGCTTACCACTGCTTTGTAGTAAATGTGCAATGGATACCTGGACGGGTCTCTCTCTCTCTCTCTTTGTGTTGTTGTTCTCTCTCTTTCTAGTCCGATGCTGCCGTTGTCTTTCTCTTTCTGCGCTGGCAAACGTCTCTCTCTCTCTCTCTCTTTCTTTCTCCCACGCCGTCCGGCATCACGCCGATCAGATACGTCGTCTCCTCGGCACTCGGCATTTTCTTGCAGTCTGTTTACGTTATAGCGAGAGCACGGATGTTTGCGCTGCAAGCTTACCACTGCTTTGTAGTAAATGTGCAATGGATACCTGGACGGGTCTCTCTCTCTCTCTCTCTCTCTCTCTCTTTGTGTTGTTGTTCTCTCTCTTTCTAGTCCGATGCTGCCGCTGTCTTTCTCTTTCTGCGCTGGCAAACGTCTCTCTCTCTCTCTTTCTTTCTCCCACGCCGATGTTTACGTGGGTCGACGTTCTCTCGGCACAACACGGACGGACAATTGTGAAGGTAGAATGAGAGAGATGGAAAACACTGCGTGCGATCTCTTCCTGCGGAAAAACACCGTTGTCAACAGTCGGAAATACTGGAGATTTTCTTCCGAATGAGAAAAATCTTACTGCGAGAGACTACTTCTCCTCCCACGACGAAAGGATACCCGTTGTCGTTCTCCGATAATTAGCTCGAGCCGCTCTCGTCTAACTCTCCTTCTCTCGCCGCCGACACGTCAACAATAATATACGGCGCGGCGCGTGTATATATACGTCGTATCCGGCGACGTGACCCAGCCGTGCGTAATCGGACGGGACGCGCGTGATTCACTGGATAAATACGCGCAAGGAGACGACACCCTCTTTACTCTTTCACTTATAACGTATATACGCGCCGCTCTTACTCGGTTACTTTCGAAATGACAGACGACGACGACGACGACGATGACAAGAGTGGTGCATCGAAGCGCGTCCGGCTGTTGAATGAATGTCGCGCGACTAATCTACGCGCATAAACAAACGCACACTAGCGCGCCGCGCAGCAGGTACGTATACACACAGGTATGCAGCACACATACACGCAAATAGAGCGACGCTACGCGCTACACCAGCAGCGCATTGTTTTGCTTCCAGCAGACGATCGAACGCCCGAATCCTCGACGTTCTCTCTCTTTCTCTTTCTCTCTCACCTCGACGACGAATCAGGGTGACGGGTTGCACAACGCGCGCATACGCTCGTCACACGCACCGACCCCGCTCCGATGAGGTAATGCACCAGGGGAGAGAAAGAGGAGAATCCGTGCACGGTGAGAGCGAGTTGATGATTCGCTTCGAC